TGAGAATGCAATTGAATTCAAATACAGGGAGTATCATAAAGTAAAAGGATTGAAACTTAAAAAAAAGTAAAAAAATAATGGAGGATAGAATAAAATAAGAAAGGACGCGAAAAGAGAATAACTTAAATTTATTTTGAAAGAGTAAAATAGAAAGACCTATATGAAGGTAAAGATGATGGTTTTGTTTTTTGTGGAAAAGGCATACAAAAATATAAGTGAGGTAGATGAGATAGGAATTAACAGATTGAAATTGATAAACAAAAGATTAAATGAATTTAAAAATTCTTATCATTTTTAAATATCATTGTTGCATTTTAACAGAGATAGAAAAGAAATCCAGATTTTGAAATCACATACTATAATCTTTAAATTAATATGTTCGAAGCATAAATATTAGAATCAGAAAGAAAACACGAAAAATATTAAAAGCTAGTAAATTTACTAGTATAATGCTGAGGCGCAAAATGGATGGCTTTGTGAATATAGAGATAAAAAAGAAAGAAGGTGATAATGAGAATCTTATATTTAGAAAATTTATTTTTGCTCGCTTTATCCAAGTAGAAAAGAGAAGCTAGAGATTAAATGGAATTAAAAGGAAGGAATTTTAGCAATATAAAATATTTATTTGAAATTTCTAATCAAAGAATTCTAAAATACGGAATGCTTGTAATAAAAATTCCTTGAAATCAGATTCGAAAAGTGGCCTAATTTGCATAAAGAAAAGAAATAACATTGTGAGAAACAATCAAGAGTGAGAGTTTGATATAGTTAGAAGATTTGTTCTTATACTTATCATTTCTTTAAATCAGTATAAACATATAAATTTAGAACAAAAAAACGATATTTTTGGAGTGAAATATTCAAAACGAAGATTTTATATGTGTAAATAATGGTATCATTAATTATTGGCATAGAGAGATGACTACATAGCGAATATAAAGAATCAGAGTAGCTTCATTACAAATCAAAAGATTATATAGAGGTGAGTAATTAATCTTATTAATGAATTTACAAAATATATGAGAGGAAGAGTAAAGACTGAAGAGGCTATCATAATAAGGTTAATAGATTATCAAATAATATAGCATAATGGAAACTAGAAAAAAGAAGGGGAAAATATTTGCTTTTATCAATAAATTATTGATTTGGTTATATTAGCACATCTTTTAAAAATAATTAAAAATTTTATTTTTATATTTGTTATTAACTTTAGATAAAAAAAAATTGAATAAAATATAAAACCTGATCTACTTAAAGATGATTACTGGATCAAAATATTTTTTATTTTACAAGAGAAGACTAAAAAAAATATCAAATAATCAGTTTTGAATTTATAAAGGCACAAGAAATGGATTAAATGGATAATAATATTGGAATAAAGTGAATGGTAAAGGGAACTTACTTATGGTATTTAAATCCAAAAGTGATTATATCTTTGGAGCATACTCTCCTTGTAAATGGGAATCAAATAAGAATAATTATGTGGAAGATAATACATTATCATCTTTTATATTTTTATAAACTCATGATTAAGTTTATCCTTTGAAGTAAGATTAAAAATAATATGCTATTTATTCTAGTTCAAGTTATGGACCTATATTTGGATAGGGACATGATATTTATATAACTAGTGATTTTACTAATGGTAATTCTAGATTAGGTTATTCATATTAATTTAGTTAATACAAGGATAGAAATGATGATCCATATTTATATGGATAAAAAATTCTTGAGTATTTAGTATTTGTTTTAGGAAATTTCTAATAAGATTCTTCATTTAATAATTGAAATTAATTTTTTTTCTAAATAAAATTATAACGACTTAAACAATAAAAAACTTG